CTCTCTCTCTCTCTCTCTCTCTCTCTCTCTCTCTCTCTCTCTCCCTCTCTCTCTCTGCCTCTACTACCCTCCTGGCTCCCCTCCTCCTGCCCTGAATAAACTCTATTCTATGCTATACGGGTGTGTGACTGGTCCCTCAGGGAGAAGAGATGCCTCGGCATGGGCCCGCTGAGACATCCCCTTCCCCCCATACCTCTCCACACACCCACAGAACATATTCCTTATCTCTTTATCTTTTTATAAACACATCACTGCCTGCTAGGCAAAGAGTCAGGGAAGGTCAGGGTCTGCTGACAGATTTCCCAGTCTGCTGAGGCATGGGACGATAAGAGGAGGTGCACTTGAGGCTCAAGGTGAGAGGCTGAAAATTCTATTGACCTTGGTGGAAGGAACAGGAAGGTTTTTGGATGGGAACAGATGTCTTATGTGTATATTTCATCAATTGCTTCTGTTAGCTTGTGGCTTTGCTTCCCACGGCAGTATGTGGTATAAAAGGCTATGAAAAATAAACTCACTGCTGGCTGCTGCTGGTATAGGATTGACCTGCAGCCCTCCCATATCTGTCTCTTGCATCTTCTTCCTGCCTTTCCTATCTTTAATCCTTCCCCCTCCTCCCTTCATACCAGCTAGTCTGGTACACTTGCACAGAAAAAATTAGTTTTCTCCAATGGAATCTCACTGGGTTTATGAGCCACACTTAAAGGCAAGTCCTGGGCATGCCCAGCAGTACATGATCAACATAAAATGAACTCAATGGTCTTAGGTTTCAAACCCAGGACAAATGGCGGAGATGCCTACTTAACATATCAAATGGCCTCCAGGTTCTCCCAGCATCCCTCAGCCCCTGCCTGTTACAAAGTCCTCCTGGATGGCATACCCTGCCTCCTGCTTCTGCAACCCAGGTATTGGGTTGGACTGCCTCTCTCCCACCTGCCCTTCCCTGTATAATCCAACCATTTTAGTTCTCCTGCTCTTTTTGGGCCACCTGCCTGCTGCCCTTGGGTTTCCCCTCTTTCACTCTCTTTCTGTCCCTGTCCCTGTCCCTCTCCCTCCCTCTCCTCACTTGGCTCAGGTCATGTCTACTCAAGACTTTCCCAGATGTCCTCTGGCCATGTTCTCGCACATATCTATAATAAACATTCTCCTCCACTATACCTAGGACCAGTGACATCTTTCCTTTTATTTTATTTTTCATTCAAATGATATTTTGGGGGATTTTTGTTGTTGTTGTTTTATATGGCTTTGAGCTTCTTTTTTTTTTTAAATTACCTTATGTATCTTTTGCTTGTATAATTTTGTACTTTTATTGATGTATGCCTGCCTGCCTGCCTGTCTGTCTGTCTGTCTGTGTATGTTTCTCATGCCTTTTCTTTGTTTTGTTTCTGGTTTATTTGTTTGTTTGCCTATTTTCTAAAGAGAGAGACATAAAGAAGGCTTGGAGTTGGGGTGGAGATATGGGGAGAATCTGGAAGAAGATGAAGAAGAGAAAATTGGTCAGAATATATTGTATAAAAATGTATTCTAAATTTAAAAATAGATTGTTGGGTGGGTCTGGGGTGCCACGTGAATTGAACCTGGGTCTTCTGGAAAAGAAACCAGTGCTCTTAACCATTTTTCCAGCCCTCCTGTTAGAATTCTTGCTTCTCAGATGGTGAGAGGCTTAACCAGTTTCTTGGTGAGTGCCCCCTTTGCCTTGTGGTCCATTTATTCAGCAGGTACTTGCATATGAAATTTTCATCCTACCAAGAGGCAGGGATTCGAGAGAAAAATCTCACTGAGAGACAGGGTTTGGTGAATAAATACCCCATTTCCTGGGCCACCAGGGTTTGGTGAATAAATACCCCGTTTCCTGGCCCACTGATGGTCCAGTCTGCGGTGCATTCTCTGTAGCATCTCAGGCCACTGGAGGCTGGGCTTCAGCTTCGCATAGGTTCTACCTGGTAAGCAGTGCATCACTTTCTGGTCTTTCTCCTTTGTCTTGATCCCCTCACCCCTTCATGTCCTTACTAGAAGCACTAGTTTTGACTGGCCTTCCACATCTGTGGCTTCTACATCACACCTCCTCCTCTAAGGATTATTCTCATACAAGAGACTCAGGAAGCAGTGGAGAATCTAGGTGACTTGGACTTTTGTGACTTTGAAGATGGGCCATGTGTAAATGGGCAGGGCACCTGCTTTAGAGAACAATATAGACTCAACTAGCCTTTGAGCAAAACCATTTGAGGAGAGAAAAGTGCTTTTGTACTGGGCATATGCAGGCCTTTTCTGGTCATTTGTTAAACAATATAATATACCAACTATTTTTATAGCATTTATATCAGTTTGTGTATAATAAGGAATTTTGAGATAGCACAGTATCTTCGGATGTGTGGGGGAGCATCCTTAGACCTTCTCATCTGTAGTGGGTTCTAGAACCAGGACCTCACAGGTACTGAGGAATAATAATAATAAAGTATCCTTGAATTATCACATGAATTCTTAAGATGATGACAACCTGCGCTGTTCTACGAAGACAGTGATGGAATCAGGACAGAAACTTCTGCCAAATCCTCACCAAAACATCTTCCATTCTCATGTCTTTAAACAAATGTTTAAAAGAACTCTGCCTCCTGCCCTGCCTCTGGTCAGCCCCCAGTCTTTTCTTATCTTGACGTCTGCTTTTGCCACACTAGGCACTCCTTAAACACAGGCTATCATATTCATTCAAAACATCATTCTGTGTTCCCCATGTCAAGGATCCTCGAAACTCCCATAATCGGACAAGCCCTCCTGACTCAGAATTCCACTTTCTGATTTCCAGTTTGGTCAGTTCTAGAAAGCAGATACGTGGGTATTTTCCAGCTCTTGCTATATGTAGCATGTGCTAAGCAATGGGCTACTAAGAATGAGTCCGGTCAGTCTGCTGTGGAGGAGGCTTGAATCTGCTGGAGAGACCTGAGCCTAGAGAAGTGCCATAGAAGCATCCAGAACTACATCAGGAAAGCCAAGGAAGCCTCCTCATTCCTCCTCTCTCTCCAGGGCATTTGTGCATGCTGGGCAAGAGTTCTACCACAGTATTATTTACTTTTCTGTCACAGAGACCAAAATACCTGACAATGACTTAAATGAAGAAAGAGCTCATCTCGGCTCACAGTGTCAAATCATGGCAGAGAGACCGTGGCAGACCAGCTCGGTGCACGGCCGTGGAGGCTTTTTACATGGTAGACCAGCGAGCAGAATAAGCAGGAACCAGGAATCCAGTATTATCTTCAAAAGTCTCTAGTCTTCCTAAATAATGTCACTATCTGAAACTCAGACATTCAAAACATGAGACTGAGGGATACTTCATATTTACACCATTACAACTACCGAGTTTCCTTGCCAGACCTTGGGTTTTTGACACCATATCTTATTGTGTGGTCCAAGCTGGCTTTGAACTTAGGATCCTCATGTATCCACCTACTGAGTTCTGAGATTGTAGCTGTTACCACCACCTCTGACTGAGAAATACTTTTTTAAAAGGTGTCATAGACAAGTTAGTGAAGGCTGAGGAGAACTCTTCATTTAGGAGGCAGGGAGGTCCTCTAAATAGAAGACAAACGTATGCAAACACTTGAGGGAGATGAAAATTTTCAGCACAGGAAACGACTTTCTGAACAGTACCCTGGCAACACAGACATTGACACTTATAATTACTAAATGGGACATTATAGAGCTGAAAAGCTTCTGGATAGCATAGGACACCATCATTTGAGCAAAGTGGAAGCCTACAGAATGAGGAAAATCTTTATCGATTACATATCTGAAGGTAGGTTAGTTTTTGGAATATGTAAAGAACTAAACAAACAAACAAACAAAAACCCTGAACATCAAGAAAAAAATAGCCCAATTTTAAAATAGGGTACAGAACTAAGTAGAGAGTTATCAAAAGATGATACACAAATGACCAAGAGACATTTTAAAAGTCCAGCATCCTTAACAACCAGGGAAATGCAAATTAAAACTGCTCCGAGATTCATCTCAGTTCTATGAGAAAGGCCAAGATCAATATAAACAAATGACGGCTCATGCTGGCAGGGATTCTGGGAAAGGAAGACACTGATGGATTGTGGGAGCACAGACTGGTACTTCCACCCTCCGGGAATCACTATGGAAGTTCTTTTAAAAGCTAAAAATCAGTATACCATCACACTCAGCTATGCCACTTATGATGGCTTGTATATGCTCAGCCCAGGGAGTGGCACTATTAGAAGGTATGGCACTGTTGGAGTAGGTGTGGCACTGTTGGAGTAGGTGTGGCACTGTTGGAGTATGTG